TTGGCTTTTGGATCCCTCTCCTTGGCAGCAAAGAAGAGATCTTCGGCTTGTCTAACAAATTACGGTTAAGATCAATCAACTCATCAAGAGTTCTAAAACTTGCCACGCAAGTTCTCCACAACGTTAAATCGTGAGGAGAAGATCATGTTCCAGTGAAACAAGACGTCGGATCATCAACGAGAAGCAAACTCGACGCGAGCATTCGAGGGAGGCATCTCATCGCCACCGTGAAGAACCCAGAATTAAACAAAGGGGAGAATCCAGATCATTTCTTCTTTTTTGTAATCAGGAAATCCAAATTGTAATTGAGATTAAAGGAATACAAATCGATTTTCCTTCATTTTTTTACTGCAAATTTTCCCACAAACATTAATCAGATTGGATTTTGCCGGGTACGGTATTGAATCCTATTCTCTTGGATAAGGACATGGAATACCCGTCTTCTTTACTTCCTGAGCCGTCATCAAAGCGTTGATTTTGTTTTCAAGCTCTTTCATTTTCTCGTCATCGTCTATGTCTTCATTCGAAGGACGTTGAGGAGATTGAGTTAGACCACCCCCTGTAAGAGGTGCCATTGAACCACCCCCAATATCGTTATTAGGAGGATGCGTTAAACTACCCCCAGCGTTATTGCTATTGGGAGATGTATCAGCCATAATGACTTCATCCACTTCTGGATCACTGTCATCTATAATATTTTGAATGTGGCGGCTGGATTCAGGAGGTTGAGATCGTTGAGCTAGCAATTCTTTCATTTGTTGGATAGCCAACTCCATCTCTGTCTTCATCTCAGCTCTAATTTCTTCACGTTGTTTGGCTAGAGCTTCTTGAAGCATTTGAGCAAACTGATCAGAGGTGATTGTGAGTACTTCTCTGGTTTGCCCTGTGTTAGATACTGTATCATCCGAAGCGATCACAGAACAAGCGTCCGAGAGCTCGTCCTCTGATGACTTTTCTTCATGCATTCTCTTGTAGTCCCTATGTTTGATGGCTCTTAACTGGAGTCGGGACATCTGTTGGGCAATTCTTGAATTGACTTTTCCTCTCGGGGAAAAGTCAGGATTTGATTCACTTGAATGCCGCTTAGATTTTCCTTTATCAGCCATGTTGATGGTGACTTCAGGGAATTCGTCATCTTGGACAGCTGATCTTCTCTTGCGAAAATGTCTCGGCTTAGACTTCGACATTTCGGTGAAAAGACTGTAAAATACCGAGACTCTTCGTGGGATGGCTTCTCGTTTTGCGTAGTTCTATTCCGACAATGCTTCTTTAATGAGTCACGCACAGGAACAATGAGAGTTTATTTCTCGAATAATTCTCTTTCGAAATTTATTCAAACCCACAGCTTGATAGTACGGTTCATCGGTATGATTGTCGGAAAATCCTATCGTTTGTTGGTATGACCTCCCAGGCATAACAATGTCTTTTGGCGAACACGTCTTCTTCTGGGGGTGTAAAACCTTGTTGTCATTCTCATGACAAATTATTGTTGCATTTGAGCGATCCAATGTTATGTCAAGAGTCACACGTTTAGAACCACCCCCTTGTGGGTGCAGAGTCTTAACGGGCTCCGAACGCTGATTTTGCACAAATCCAGACTTTGGAATCCAAACTTTGCAGAGTTTTGGTGGTTCTTTGGCCACCGTTTCCTTGTTTCTTTCTCGTCTTTGTTGTAAGAGAGCACGGGCATGAGCTGCGTTTGCACGACGCTTTTGCATACGTTCTTTGAGGGTCGAGCGAGCCCTTTTGACAAGAGTCCATTCATCCGTCGTTAGTTTAGCAGAGATATGAGTGATTGGTCGTTGAGACAACTGAACCACTCAATGCCTCCTCGACTCTAAGTCCGCGTGATAACAAACTCCATCGGTTTGTTCCAAGGCCTTAGCCATTTGGCGAGCGCGGCGTTGACGTTGTCTCTGACGAGTTCTTTTCGTCAGTGCCGGCGGGCTTTGATTCAATGACTCTTTAACTGGAGAAGAGTCATTGTGAGCAGAGATGTTGCGAGTAGAATTCTTAGCAACAATTGGACAAGAGTCTTCATCCGTAGCATTTGACAACTTAAAAAGCTTCAAGGAAGATGAAATCTTCCTGCATTTGCGAGGCGAGGAAGACTTTGCAGATGAGGATGACAAGTATTCCTCAAACTTCGTTTGGTCGAACTCGTACTCGACCGTTGATTCAATCGGGATCTTGATCGGCTGCGACACGACGGTCTCGGTAGCGAGACCGTTGGCTCCCACTATGGTCACCAGTTTGTTTTCGTCAAAAGTTGGTTTTGTTATGGAATTCATTATATCTTCGTGTTTGTTTGGATTCCTGGTTACAAAAGAGAAGAGAATGATCTGGATTCTCCCCTTTGTTTAATTCTGGGTTCTTCACGGTAGCGATGAGATGCCTCCCTCGAATGCTTGCGTCGAGTTTGCTTCTCGTTGACGATCCGAATATCTATACTCACTGGAACAACTGTCTTGGCCGGTTGATAACTCTTGTCGAGTTTTGTGATTCAGAACAAGTAACAAACTCTAATGATAGAGTTGTTGGAACCGAAAATAATTCGGTTGATAAGCCAAATATCGATGGTTTAGAGATCCTCCGTTTGTTGATTTCCCAGACTGTGTAAGGAGTCAATCCTCCTTTTTCTGATTCTGGAAGATTTGATCGAAAGATCCCCCTCCGATTAATGAAAAGAAATCTCTCTTGATCTGATTATCAAAAATCCGATCTCCCCCAATCCAAAAAGGAGATCCCTTACTCTGTTGAGTTTGTTGCTATTTATAGGGGGATTAGGGGTGTAACTGCCCCCATAATCCGCGCCTAAATGGGGGTTTAGTTACCCCATTAGTCGGGTGTAACAACCCACTAAAGCCACTCCTCAAATCGTGGGTGAAGAACAGCTTCGAAGTTGTTACGATCACGTTTGAATGAGTCAGAACCTTGACCTGCGTTCTGGCGGTGATTGAGCTGCGTTTGGCAGCGACTGACGGGCTGCGTTGGGCAGTGATGGATGAGCTGCGTTGGCAGCGGTTGATAAGCTGCGTTGGGCAGCGATTGATAAGCTGCGTTGGGCAGCGATGGAGCTGCGTTCGAGCTGTGCTTGGCAGCGATTGGAGCTGCGTTGGGCAGCGATTGATAAGCTGCGTTGGGCAGCGATGGAGCTGCGTTGGGCAGCGATGGAGCTGTGTTCGAGCTGTGCTGGGCAGCGATTGGAGCTGCGTTCGAGCTGTTGATTGTTGTAGTATTTAGATTTCTCTGTCTTTATATATGGATGACACCAAAGACCAGTAAAGAAGGTCTTATTCAAGCCATTTGTGACAATTGAGGCATCTCAATAACGCTCTATCAACTGCAGGTCATGATCTCCACTGAGTGTGTCGAATATCATTACACTGCTCATCAGCACCTCTAATGGTTGCCAATATAATATTAGTCATGTTGTTGTCGCAGCTGTAGGCGTATAAAATTGCCTATAGGTCCCTTAGCACAGCTCGACGCCGATTCGACAGAACGAACCATCAGGCGACGTATCCAAACAAGATCGTTAGCTCGCCAACGCTGAAGCCAAGCTATACGCAACGGAGCAGGTTAACGAGGCGACAAATCGCACC